AGATGTTGCTGATTATAGCAATCAGGTTTTCAAATGCAATATCAGATTGGAATTGCTTTGGACACCTAGTTGGGCAACCTGTGCCAGAGACTGGATGAGAGAGAGGTGTTGCCTCTCAGTTATCCTAGACATCTTGGTAGTTTTTGGTACCATCAACCGTGGTATTCCTTCTGGAACTCCTGGCTGGTCTTGGACATTGGGCAACGTGGAGAACATTGTCTAGAAGGGCTGAGTCTCCCATTTCTGTTTGGGCTTCCTTTAAAATTTCACCCTTTTGAGTTCTTGGAAATTGCAATGAGCCCATCCTGAACATGCATATGCTGTTGTCCTATAAATACGTTGTGCTTTGGTCTTGACTTTGTAGGATTCCTACATAAAAGAGCTGCCTTTCTGTCTGTTTGTTTTACCTACAGATATCACTAGGGATATTCACAGCCTGGCAAGTTGCATATATCCTTTGGGGTATGTAGACACTTCTGCTGTAGGCGTTGGGTGTAGTTGTCTAGGGTTGGCGGGGTGGGGCTTGCCATTTCCTGTCTGTCTGGGAACAACTAATTCCGTTTTTCTTTGCTAGGCTACCTCATCATGCATCTGTTGGAAACGGTGCTTGGAATGGTTCTCATGTATGTTCTGATTTTGCCCATGAAGCGTGGTGAGTGGATGGAACTTCTCAACAAGTGGGGGCTTGTAATGTAAGTGTGAGCAATTAAAACTATTTTTCCTTTAAAGACCCCGGCAGGCAGAGCATTTCCGCATGTCCTCAAGGAAGGGCCAATTCTCGAGGGGCCAAATGCGTGCCTAAAAGCAGCATTCCCTCAAGTGGTGAAACATGTCTGTTGGAGCTTCGGTTTTTACTCTCCCTTCTGCGGTCTGTATATTGCGGCAAACTGTTTTGTGATTGGTATGGTCGGAAGGGAAAACAAGCTTAATTTGCCAGTCTGATTGCTGGGGCGCTTGTCTTTGAGGGAATCATGCTGTAGGAGGGAGAAGAGGCAAACTGCAGGGGGTGCACATTCCCTTTAATGTCTAATTTGATCCCCAGTCACACCGCTGCTGTGTGCAAGGCAGTCTGGCTGGAGACCAACTGCAGGAAAAGAAGGCCTCAGCCACTGTGAACTGGGGAGCATCAGACAATAAATGCTTGACCTTGAACCCTGTCTTGTAAAAATGCATGAATGAACTGCCATGACAAATGGTCTCTTGTGTTACATTAAATGGGTGCACATTTCCAGGATAAGCTTCCAGAGTGATCCTTGTGTTGCTCATTTCAGCAAAAATGACCAAGAGCCTTGTGACACTTCAAGGACTAGGATATTTACTATGAAATAATAAGCATTCATGGGCCCCTCCCTTTGTCTGATGAAGTCCCTTATGTTGCTCATTTCAGCAAAAATGACCACGAGCCTTGTGACACTTCAAGGACTAGGACATTTACTATGAAATTAGTAAGCACTCATGGGCCCCTCCCTTTGTCTGATGAAGTGGATCGCATCCACAAAAGCCATCATATATTTCCATGGTCTTTAATGTTGCAGAAGATTCTGTTGTTTAAGATGACCCTGTAAGCTAGGATCCAAAGAAGGAATGCACGCATCCAGGAAAATTCTATGTACACAACTCCAACTTTCCTTGCTATGCTACTGTCCCTAGTGAGAGGCAACTCCCTCTCTCGTTCTTTCTTAAAAGCAGCACACCTCTTTGGCCGCGAGAAATTAACTGAAAGCTTTAGTTGCCTAGGTAGTTGTTTAATAATAATCATGTGCTGTCAAGTCAGTTTGGACTTAACGGTGACCTTTTTCCTGGTAGAGAATAGTGACAAGAGGTTTACCATTCCCTTCTTCCAGGGGTGCCCTGGGGCTGTGCAGCTTGCCCAGGGTTACACAGGCTAGCTCTACTTGAAAAATCGAACTCCCAGCTTCTGGTTCTGCAGCCAGATACCTACTCAGCCAGCTATCTTTGCTGAGCTAGCTACCTAAAATCGCTGAGCTATCTTTACCCCATGCATGTAGTTTCCCCTTGGATCCTAACTTATCAAAACACCTTTAAAGTGTTTCACTATAACACTGGATGTAATCCCTGCCTTTGTCTACATCAGGGCAGGCAGGACCTCTGAGCCTCAGGATAAGCAGCTTCATGTGGTTCTCCTAATTGTCCTTCCATAGCTTCAGACTTTGCCACAACCTTCGTTTTAGTTTGTCTATTAAAATTGGGTTTTTTTCCTTTGTTTTCTGTTTCTCAGCCTTCCAATCATCATCGTCATGATTATCAAGAAGGTGCAGATTTTTGTAGCTGGCAGGGTTTTTCTCCAGCCAAAGATATCACCTAAAGACAAGGAGAAGCCTTTGGCGCTTGACAACCGGTTAGTGCCAGGAAGTGAGACTCTTCCTGCTGTTTACTTCCTTGAATAGTTATTTCACTGCATGACACCTCTTTGTTGAAGGTTACTAAGGAGAGCTGTAGAACATCTACGAGGAGTGGCATGGAAAATGTGGCTGTTGTTGGCATCTGTGTTAATTTATTTACAATGGAATCCTCTTTGTGTTTACTCAGAAGTAAATCATATTGTGTTCAGTGGGGCTTACTCTGAAGTAAGTTTGTATTGGAATGGCACTACCAAACGTACAGGTTTTGACCTCATAAAACTCAAAGCAAGCAATTATGGAGTCCCTTTTGCGTGGAGAATCTCAGCTAGATAATTGCTTGTGCATCATTAGATGACAGATAAAGCAAGGCTTGTTCTGGATTGTATTTCCTTACCTGGAGTTCTGGCTCTTTGTACATTTTGGTTGCCAGACAAGAAGGGTTTCAAATGCTAGTAGAAGGTCCTTCATGTAATGGCCAACTTACACCCTCTTGATTTCCAATTTCCTGGGAGTGGCTGCAGAGAAGGTCCGGTGTCATGCTCCCACCAAGCGAGGCTTTGAAGATGATGAGACTGAGAGAAGATCCTTCCGATCTTGAAAGCCTAGGCACACTTGGTATGAGCAACTATGATCTTTCCATCAGTCTGGACACAAGTCTTACAGGGCTTTAAAGGAGATAACTAGCACCAAGAATTGTGCCCCAAACTAAACTTGATAACCAGTGAAGTTGTTGTAACATGAGTTTTACATTCCCTGTCACTGACCCCGGTTAGTAGCATCATCATTTTGGATCAACTAAATAGTTTTCAAAAGCAGCCCCATGGACAGCGCATTACAATAATCCAGATGGGATGTAACTAAGGGCCTGTCCACACTGGCATGTAGATATGATATATAGATTGTTGTGGTCACAGTTTGGATCTGAGGGGAAAAGACCTTGTCTGCAAGTGTGTCTACTTTTAATTATCCATCCTTCCCATTTAAGAGCTGTCACACACCTTTCTGATCCAATGGTAAGGCATGTATTCTTTTTGGTATGCTTGTTGTTTAGTTGGGAGATTATAGCCTCCAGCAGCCTCAGCTTCCAACTGCTGTTGTGGATAGAGAAAGTAGAGAGAGGAAGAATAAAGGAAGGGAAGCAAGTGAGGGGAAAGGAGAAAATGGAATGGCACCAACGGAGGGGGATAGGAGTGATGTAAAAATAATAATTTCACTTCCCCTGACCCACCACAAACAATTAGAGGAAGTGCTTAATTGACAGCTGATCAAGCTACAAGGGGTCGTTTTCTGTTCAGACGGGAGAAGCAAGGCAAAGGGCACATCCCCCCTTCCCTTGACTTCAGCAGACCATTTGTAGCCCGATCCAGCCCATGCCCAAAACAGCCAGTCTAGATAGGCCATAAAGGCATGTATATTTGAGCCAGATCAGATAACTCCAGCTAATGTGTTAGCTTTAAATGGGGAACCAGATTCAGGGCTCTACAGTGGTGCCCTCGTTAAGTGAGGGGAGGGCGCGAAAATGGCTGCCGGCCATCCTGGAACATCGCTGAACGGTGAGTAAAGGAGCCTTTCGGAACGCATTAAACATTGTTGGCTTTTCCTGCCCCGTTCAGCGATGCTTTCACATAGTGAGGGTTAATCCGGAACGGATTAACCTCGCTATGCGAGGCACCACTGTATCTTGGAATATTCATGTTCTATGAGCCTGCATCTTCAGGGGGGAATGTAACCCTATCCAGTATCTCTGAATCCCTCTGTTCCTTGATCTGTCTTTCAGCTGACCAAGAACATTGCTGTCATGCCTGGCTGATCCAGTCCACTCTGATGCCTTGTTCAGAACGCAAATAGCTTCCTCAAATTTAGAAGGAAGGGAAAATAATGAGGGATATCTTTTATTGATAACATGGGTCAAAATCCTCTTCTTCAGCAGAGAGGAAATGATGCTAATTAACAAGTCCCCATTTGGAATCCTAGTTATGAGCCTGGTGGGAACTTGCTAATTAGCGCCAACTTGCCACTGTGAGCAATACCACTTCCCTTCTGACAGTGTAACTACACAAGAGGATTTTGGCCATTGCTGTAGTTGCTGGGTGCTGAGAAAGAACCACAGCAGAAGTTCTGAAAACATACTAGCAAACATCAGGTCAGCAAAAACTCCAGGGACAAGGGTGATCATTCAGTAGTTTTCCCCTTCTGGAGAGCTGCCCTCTGTGATGTTGAACCCAGTGCATAATGGTTGCATAGAGGAGAGAGTAGAGAGCAGGGGAGGAACGACTGTGTAATTACTTTTCCACGGTCGTGCAAATAAGCCAGTGTTTGTTAACAATTTAATTTTGTCTATGTCCATATAAGGCTTTAATCTTGATGAAAATCATGCCGACCCTTCTGATTTTAATTTGCCTTCTCCTCTGTGAAATCCAAAGTGGTCTGTCTACCCCATCATTCTTCTGAATTGTAGGCAATCTCTGGTTTTATCATCTTCAGCATCTTTCAACAAAAGAAATTGCACTGGACCTGTTGGTGCAGCCTATGCTCAAAGCACATACACGTATTTTTCTGCTATTATACACAGGAGCATCACATTATTTTCAGATGCCCACTGTTTCAACAACAGGAATACCAAAATGCCTCTCTCTGTCTCTTCCCTACACCCCCTGTTTAAATTTAGGCTGCTGAAACCAAGAGTCAAGAAACCAAGACTTCAAGAGAAGAGGAATAGAATTGTATGTGAAAGGATTTGTGTGAGAGACCCAGTTCTGATACTGAAAATACTGAGCTTGGAAGTGGCTGATTCTTCCTCTTGCTCTAAATGAGTTTTATAATTTGCATCCTATAAGAAATGGCAAAGGACTCCTGAACGTTTCGGCCAACTTACCTTGCCTCTGCTCCAAATTCAAACTCCCTGAATCTTTGTACGTCATCCAAAACTAACTCTGGTTCCACCCAAAGGCGTGTCAACCCAATCTGGCCTCTGAATTCAGGGGGAAATGGTAACAACTGTGCTGTTATTCACTGGTGATCTCCTTTGCTCTGCAGGAAAATATTCGTGAACTTCATCTACTTTTTGTTCTTCCACTCGGTGGTGGTCGGCCTGGCTTCTTGTCTCTGGAGACTGCTGCGTAGTGTCATTCTCGGAGCGTGGCTGGTGGGACGAGTTGATAGGCCCATTATGCCAAAAGGGTTTGAAGAATGGGATAATGGTAAGTGTCAGGGCTTTACAGAGAAGGTTCTCAAAGTCTTTCCAAGGGAGGCTACCAGACAGGGCAGTTTCTCCTTTCAGTTCACTCCCCTCCAATTGACCCCATGTTCTCTCCAGAGGGGAAAAGGCGAAACCTATTTGGTGACTTGCTCAAAGGAACTCTTCTTCCTTTCACTGCAGGGTTCAAAACCTGGATTCAAATGCTGTTCCTGGACCATTACCACACAAATCCCATCCTGGTTTGCTTCTGCCACATCCTCTGTACCCAAAACAGAGAAAGACAATTGCAGACAGCCAAAATGGACATTACTGGTGCTGAGTCCATGAAGACAGGTAAACGAATAACAGCCGTCAGGGATAAAATGGAATGCTGAACAGGATAGAAATGGCTATTTTCTACTGGCAAGGACACTTTCCTCATTGCAGGTCTTTCCGCCACCAGTTCAAGACCAACCTCCATGCAGAAAGGAGTAACTTACTAGTTACATATTCAATTGTAACTGAATGTTCCTTCAAATATACAACTTGGCTTGTTAACAAAAAAAAGTCCCTCCAAAACACTGAGCTGATAGTATAGTAAGCAAACTGAAATACAATGGGAAAGCATGCAGCAACAACAACATAAATAATCCACCCGAGCCTTACATAGTCCTTTGGGTTGCCAGTTTTTAAAAAATTCTGAAATTTGAAAGGCCTCTTGTTGTGTAGATATTAACTGGCAACTATGCTTGCTTCTATGCCACACAAAAAAAATCCATTTCAGTTTCTGCAGATCATACTGCTATTAAATACTTGAAAAGTACCCAAGCCTTTTATTTGCTGGTTTGTTTTTCTTGCCTGCTTGACAATCCCACGTATTATGTAGCCAAATTCTACTCTCACACAATATGGGTCAAATTCTATTCTAGTAGAACAAACAAAAATATATTTCCTTTGTTCTGGCCACATCCTAATTTTTGAGGGTTTGTTTTTATTGGCTTGAGGCTCACAGGTACAGCTGGTCCATACAGCTGTGTTATATTGTCTTCAAAAGTATTCTTGGGATATGCAGCCCTTTGAGTTGCTTTTTGGTTTGGAACAAACAGAAAAGGGAATAGATTTGGATCTGGATGCTGAATTTGACAGAAAGTAATTGCTGGTGTTTTATTTCAGTCTCTGGGACACGAGACAAAGCGAAGACAAGATGGCTGCTGCTCTACACACTTTTGAACAATCCTCCTCTCCAGAAATTCAGGAAGCAAAGATTAGAACCTCTGTCTGTGGATTCTCTACTGCATTGATACTCTACCTGTGGCTGTAACAGAACTAAATACTAAGCCTGCCCATTGCACACAGTTTGTCTTCCTGGGCTCAGGGTTCAGCAGGATGTCAGCTGTCAAGATCCTGGCCATAATGCTACAAAGTGTTTGCAATATGGGGGGGGGGGAGTTCCTAAAGCATACCTGTTTGGAGCTGCTTGCTGATAGCTTGTTTATACAGTACTGTTTTCCAAATAAGTACTTCCTATGTTGCCAGTATTTTGTATGCCATGAAATGCTCCATACCTTGACCCCAAGACATTTTGGCTTGTCTTGGCACAAGGAATTGCTAACAAACTATGCACAAACCATTGTTTTTGGGTAGATTAATTGGTCTCTTAAGACTGCCTGTGAACATAATTCTTTCATCTGTAATTGGGCAATGATCTGACTTGCAAGGTCGTTTGAAATGAAAAGCCAAACCAGTGTCCATAGTATTGTTATGATAAAAATAGTAAGCTTTCCAAAAAGGACCAACTTGGAATATTGATTTCCCAAATCAGTGGTTTGGACTCCATGAGGGCATAGTTCCAAAATTATTTTTTCCTAAAACATTTTGCATTAAATTATTGGTGCTTTGAAGCTGAATTTGCTGCTTTGGCATAGCTGATGTCAGAACAAGGAGAACTGTGTCTTTTCTGCTGTCAAATTGCACTGAAACTGTGAGTGTGTTGGCATAAGGGCCTTTTCGGCAGCTGCCCCCAGACTATGGAACACCATCCCGAGAGAGATTTGTCTGGCGCCGACGTTGATGATATTTTGGCGTCAGGTGAAAACCTTCCTGTTCCAGAAGGTTTTTAATTGAAATAATATCAACTGTGGATCTTGGTGGCAATTTTTAGAGCAACGTATTTTTAATTGGATTTTTATTGTTTTATCTTTATATCTTTTTATTGTATTCAAATTGTTGTAAACTGCCCAGAGACCTTTAGGTAGTGTAGGTGACATATAAGTTAAATAGATAGACAGACAGACAGACAGACAGACAGACAGACAGACAGACAGACAGACAATTTTCCTGTGGTCTTGGGGGGCAGAGTGTGTGAAGGAATTGAGTGTGGCTTTAATTAAAATAAAACTTCCTCTAACTATGCAGCAGATGAAATGGTTCAGTCAGGAACCTACAGAGCAGATTGATGTCAGGTTTCCCTCACTAGACCATCCCTTATTTCTTAGTTTACCTCAACTGGCACTTACATTCACTGAGAGACTAATGAGAAAGAATAAAATGTTTTTATTTACCTACAGTTCTTTATAGGTGAAAATAAACATGATATTGTGTGAAAAATGTTAGCATGTTACATCACTGAACTTAACTGTTTAACAAGCTTTATTACTGATTAACTGACTGGTTACATAACTGACCAAATACTGCACTCTGTCTTCAGACACCATAACTGGGGGCACAGTTACATGTTCATTTAACTTTGTGTTTGTGTTGGGTTTAACACACTTTAAATCAATTTATAGTTATCAGTCTACACCAGTGGTCCCCAACCTTTTCTGACCCGCAGACTGGTTGGGGGGGTGGTGAGTCTGTCGTGGGGGGTGGGGTGCTTGCATGCATGTGCGGATGGCACAGGGCAAGCTCACGGGGGTGGGGCACGCTCGCGGAAGCTGAGCATGTGTGCGGGTGGGTGGACCATGTATGTGTGGGGG